CGAGCTGCCCGCCACTACTATTACTTTCTGCTGCTGAGCCTGGCCAGGGACGTGTATGAAATCTCCCTGCAGATGGGACGGGTCGCGCACGACAGAGCCAAGAAGGAGAAGGGGTCCTCGCAGAGTCCTTCTGGGTTCAGCGTGGCCGACGAGGAGACGGAGTGGCTGCAGTCCTTCCTCCTCCTCTTGTTCCGGTCTCTGAAGCGCCACCCCCCACTGCTGCTGGACACTGTGAAGAACTTGTGTGACATCCTGATCCCTCTAAGCCAGCTGGGGATCTACAAGTCTAATCGAGGCCTCATCGGCCTGGGAGGGTTCGTGTCCTCAGTTACAGGCATCATCACCGTGGCCTATCCGCACATGAAACTCAGGACCTGCTAGGGTCCTTTGAGGGCTGAGCCAGACTGGCCTTCAAAGGCGACCTGCTCGTGGAGTGGACACTTGCTGTGGTCACAGGCCAGGCCGTGCCCGGGTTCTCATTCTAGCCAAATCTGAACAACTGCATCGCTGGGAGACAGGAGCCAGAATGAAGAAGGGAAGCATGAAGATTTCAGCTCATGTGATTTTCAAGATGCTGGAATCACTGCTGGATTTCTGAGTATTTTCTCTGTGTTCAACATTTAGTGAACATTTCTGATGTGCCCAGTAGGAACTTAGAATAAGATCTGGAAGGAAAATTGAACATGGCCCAATCAATCACATGGTGACACTTTGGGTATGGTTTTTGCTTGACTGCCCATGCAGAGCATCTAAGGATCCACTATACCCCACTGCCACCCTTGGGTCTAATATTATCTGTGGGTAGAGGTCATTAGGCAGTGTCATGACTCAGCCACAATTGGAAGCAGAAAGGAGTTGAGGTGAAAATGGGTAGAAGGTCACCTGTTATGTGGCCTGGGACGGATAAGGGTGCTGAGAAAATATAAACACTACTGGTTCTTCTGACTGGGAATCCTTGTTTGTCCCCAGGAGTCTTCCTGAGTTCCTGGCAGAGTGGGAGCCGGGGACTCTAGGACTCTGTGCTTTTATCTCGCCACTCGCCCTAACTCAGTACTTCCATTGGTCAGTGCTTCATAGTCTGTTCTACAAAACTGCAAACTGACTTGTGAGCCAGCTTGTTCTTGTCTAACCCCATGTAACAGTCTGAGTGCTTCTGCATTAATTAGCAGTTTAACATGTCATGACTTGAGTGTGCGAGGGTTGCAGTTTACTCTGATAAATCCAATTCCTCATCATAGAGTGCCCGGGGGAGACAGGAAAGGGCAGGAAGGAGCCCAGAGGACATTTCCCTGGGTTCCCTGCCTCCCATCCCGGGTGTCAGATTTTATGGGGACAGATCCTTTCATCTGAGGGAGGTGAAATGGGCAGGTGAGACGCCAGCAGGTGGGGGCAGAGTCAGTCCAATCAGTAAGGCTGTGTCATTTCCCTGAACGCAAATGTGAGCAAAATTCCCACAGGCACAACTTGTCTGTGGACTCAGGTCCTTGGCTCTCTGTGCTCTAGGCACACAATCAAGACACGGGGTTTGAGAAAGCACAATTCGGGCCCTTGAAGAGACATGCCCAGTACTGTGTATCAGGGCCGATACAGTTTAAATGACTGTTTAGACCTTGTCCAGATCCTGCATTCTGGTAGGTTCATTATGTCCAATAAATTCTGAAACAAACTGACCTGTGTGTCTGTACATGTTGTGGGAATAAAGCCCCAGTGAGAGGCCACCCCACTCACTGAGCTCTGGGACGGGAAGACTGAGAAAGATCACGCTGGGGTAGGGGGCGACCCCAAAGATGTCTTCAGCTGTTTGGCTGTCCGGGGCGCTGCTTGCTCCTGGAGGTGATGATGCGTGGCCCTGTGCCTGTCTTGTACTTCTGTCCCCTGAGGTTGGGATGGGACATACCCTCCAGGGCATGAGCGCCTTCAGTGGGGCCCTGGGCTTTCTCCTTCCCAGCTAAGCCACCCCTCCTGTAAGCTTCCATGTTCACAAGAGTTTCCAAAAACTAAGGACTTAGAGAGCAGCACATCCACAGCTGAGCGTTGCTGCTGAAGGAGTGAGGCAGTCAGCCAGACCCACTTCTGGTGATCCACCTAGGAATGGGACAACCCAGCCCCTGCTCTGGGGAGAAGGGAGAGGAGAGAGAACTGTGCCCTGCAAGCTGCCGCTGGCCAGCTGCCCAGCCCTCTTCCCCGGGCCTCGCCCACGCCCTTTCACCGCCTCTCACCTCTCACCCACATTCTGGAACCGCTGCCCTAGTGGCCAAAGGACCCGCTTTGTCAGCAAAACCTTCTCCTGCCTTTGGCCCAAAGCCACCACTCTGGATCAAGAGCTGCCCTTCGGCCCGGGGTTGCCGTCCAGCCACAGCCTCGAGGGACATCTGTCCTGTTCCAAGTGGAAGAGGCCACTGTTTCAGATACTTCCCTTGTGCCCATGAACAGGCCAGGCAGGTCACTGCCTGTTCACTGAATTGCACCCCCTCCTTTGTCAATCACCCTGCTTTGGGAGGCTGCCAGCATGCTGCCATCCCCCCACCTGACCTCCCACTGCCCGAGCCAGCACACCACAGACAGAGCTGAGCATACAGGATATGCCGGGAGACCCTGCTTCTCCACACCCTTGCCTGTCTTGTCTGTGGCCCACAGCACACCACTGCTCCGAGCTCCCACACAGACAGCTCTGCCACCCCCGGAGACTACATATGCTTGCTCCTGGTACCTTAGGAACCCTGGAAACGGTGGCTGACACCATGATGCACCACCAGTTCTGAAGGCAGGAACTAGATCTTGGGCTTGAGTCTGCTAAGGAATTAGAGGTAACAGCTCCTGGTCATCTGGGTGCTGTTGGTAGGAGCAGAACCTTGGTCACTTGTCACTGGCCCTGTGTGCCTTTTTTTTTTTTTTAAAGATTTATTTATTTTTATTGAAAAGTCAAATATACAGAGAGGAGATAAGAGAGGAAGATCTTCCATCCAATGATTCACTCCCCAAGTGGCTGCAATGGCTGGAGCAAAGCCAATCCGAAGCTGGGAGCCAGGAGCTTCATCTGGGTCTCCCACACGGTGCAGCGTCCCAAGGCTTTGAGCCATCCTTGACCGCTTTCCCAGGCCACAAGCAGGGAACTGGATGGGAAGTGGGGCTGTCAGGACTAGAACCAGCGCCTGTATGGGATCTTGGAGCGTTCAAGGCGAGGACTTTAGCTGCTAGGCCACCCTGCCGCAACACCCCCCCCATCCCCGCAACCCCATGTACCTTTCAATCATGCTGTTCACTTCTCACCCCTGCTAGAAACTAGGACAGGATGGGGGAAATGAGTTCAAAACTGCTCCCCACCCGCAAGAGACAAGGACTCAAAGATGAAGAAACTTACTAAAAATTAGAGCTTATGACTTTATTTATTTGAAAGAGTGAGAGATAGAGTCCTTCCATCTGCCAGTTTATTTCCCAAGTGGTCACAATGACCAGGACAGGCTCAGGCTAAAGCCAGGAGCCTGGATCTTCATCTGGTCTCCAACGTGGGTGCAAAGGCCCAAGGACTTGAACCATCTTCTGCTGCTTTCCCAGGCATATTAGCAGGGAGCTGGATCAAAAGCAGAACAGCAGGGCCTCTAACAGCCACCTGTGTGGGATGCCGGCCAGCCTCTCAGGAGGTAGCTTGCTTGCTGAGCCACAATATTGGCCCCTAGGGCCTGGCATGATAGCATAGTGGTTAAGGTCCTCACCTTGCACGGTTCGGATCCCATATGGATGCCGGTTCTAATCCCGACAGCCCCCCTTCCCATCCAGCTCCCTGCTTGTGGCCTGGGAAAGCAGTTGAGGATGGCCCAAGGCTTTGGGACCCTGCACCCGTGTGGGAGACCTGGAAGAAGTTCCTGGATCCTGGCTTCAGATTGGCTCAGCTCCAGCTGTTGCAGCCACTTGGGGAGTGAATCATTGGATGAAAGATCTTCCTCTCTGTCTCTCCTCCTCTCTGTATATCTGCCTTTCCAATAAAAATAAATCTTTAAGAAAAAAAAAAGAGAAACTATGTTGGCCCCTCGTGCCTCTGACTTTACCACCATGGATCTCCATTCTTTCTGGAAAACAGGATTGGTTCTGTGTTTTTCCTTGTTGCAAATGGAGGGCCGGAAAGAGTGAGTAGCAGAGGCCTCCATGGGGCTGCAGGAAACAACCATCTTTCAGCTCTGTGCTCTCCCTCCCTGTTGCTAAATGTGCTAAATGAAATCAGGATAGAACCCCAGGGGACAGCCCAGCTTCCTCTGTTCCCTACCCTCCCCTAGCTGGACGGCCTTGGTCACATTGCCCAAGGCTCCCTGCAGTGCCTGGACCCTTGAGTGCTCTCGGGGACACTCTGCAGCCTGGGCTCTGGTGGAGGCAGCAGCAGGCAGCAGCCGGGGTGAGTACGGGCTCAGGGGCAGCTGTCTCGCCTTGCTGGTTTAAGGCACTAATGAGAAGAGGTTGTGAGTAAGGTTGTCCTGGGGGTGAAGAGACGGCAGGTGACTGAGGGAGAGGTGCCAGGTGAATGACCAGAGCTGGGAGCAAATGCTCTGAGGCCACTGGCCTTTCCAGAGGCCGTCGGAAGAGCTTCCTTCCCTGGGGGAGTGTAGAGGGGAGGCCTGGCGACATACAGCAGAGCCAACCCAGAGCTTTGTTCCTTAAAAACAGAAAAGATGAAAGCCAACACTTGCTGCTTGAGTCTCTCCCGGGACTTTATTTAAGGGTCTAGAGACTTCCTCTCTTACAGTTGACTGGAATTATACTTCTCACCCAAGCCCCTTGTAAGAAACATCCTTCTTGACCGGCAGCCTGTGGAGCAGCTCAGGCTGTGGGACACCGGGGGGTGGCCTTGTGTAGGGTGCTCACTCCTGCAGCGATACCTTCTGCTGGGGGCATTCGTGCTCCCAGGAAGCCTGGTGGGCATGAATGGACAGGAAGTGCTTGTGTGGAGCCCAGGCCCCAGGGCTTGTGACGGACCCGGGACTCCGTGTCTTGCAGCGTGACAAGCAAAGATGACAGCGAACAAGGGCCTCACTTTGCTGGATGGAGACCTCCCTGTAAGTGACCCAGGCTCACAGGACCTAGGGATGGACGATGGAGATGGGGAGGGCCGGGTGGGAGGGGAGATAAGGGGACACCAGGCAAGGTGTGCCACAGCCACAGTCCTAGCTCAGGGACTACCCCGCTTGAGTTGTTCTTCTCCTCACTGTCAGCTGCAGAAAGACTGGGGTTTGGAGAGGGAAGAAGATGACCCAAGAACGCAAAAGATGGCAGTGTTGGTTGGGGAGGGAAGTCATGGATAGGGCCCTGCTGCACCCCAACCCCCAGCTGAGCATATGGGAGAAATCCCAGCAGTCTGTGGAAGGCAAAATTATAAGACAAGTTTATTGTGGTGTAAAAACTTTAGCGAATCCACATATGTGACTTCATGCAGAATGTATATTATAAAAAAACACTAGGACATGAATTTCAAAAATGTTTATATCAGAATTTGCTTATCTTTTAATTGCATTTGCTGTGATTTTTTAAAAAGATTTATTTTTATTACAAAGTCAGATATACAGAGAGGAGTAGAGACAGAGAGGAAGATCTTCCATCCGATGATTCACTCCCCAAGTGAGCCGCAATGGCCGGTGCTGTGCCAATCCGAAACCGGGAACCAGGAATGTCTTCCGGGTCTCCCACACAGGTGCAGGGTCCCAAAGCTTTGGGCTGTCCTCAACTGCTTTCCCAGGCCACAAGCAGGGAGCTGGATGGGAAGTGGAGCTGCCGGGATTAGAACTGGTACCCATATGGGATCCTGGCACGTTCAAGGTGAGGATTTTAGCCGCTAGGCCACACCACCAGGCCCACCGTGATCTTTTTTTTTTTTTTTAAAGATTTGTTTATTTTTAGTGCAAAGTCAGATATACAGAGAAGAGGAGGAGAGACAGAGAGAAAATCTTTCATCCGATGATTCACTTCCCAAGTGACCACAATGGCCAGAGCAAAGCCAATCCGAAACCAGAAGCCTGGGACCTCCCCTCCTGGTCTCCCATAGGGGTGCAGGGTCCCAAAGCTTTGGGCTATCCTCGACTGCTTTCCCAGGCCACAAGCAGGGACGTGGATGGAAAGCCGGGCTGCCAGGATTAGAACTAGTACCCATATGGGGTCCTGGCACTTGCAAGGCAAGGATTTAGCCACTAGGCCACCACGCAGAGCCCTGCCGTGATCTTTTTTTTTTTTAAGATTTATTTTTATTTCTATTATTTTTTTATTGGAAAGGCGGCTATACAGAGAGGAGAGACAGAGAGGAAGATCTTCCATCCGATGATTCACTCCCCAAGTGAGCGCAACGGCCGATGCTATGCTAGTCCAAAGCCAGGAGCCTCTTCCGGGTCTCCCACACAGGTGCAGAGTCCCAAAGCTTTGGGCTGTCCTCTGCTGCTTTCCTGGGCCACAGGCAGGGAGCTAGAAGGGAAGTGGGGCTGCAGGGATTAGAACCGGCGCCCATATGGAATCCCAGGCGTGCAAGGCGAGGACCTTAACCACTTGCGCCACCGCGCTGGGCCCTGCCGTGATCTTTTTTAAGTACCCCAGTGTCCCAGTACAAAGCCACCGGATTCCTGTACTCCCAGCATCATTTGCACCGCTGGGCTGAGCAGTGCGTGGCCTGTGGGGCTGGCCATTCAGCCTGTGGGGCTAGCCATTCGGCGTGTCCAGTAGGAGCTCTGATCCAGCTCCTACTGTGTCTACAGGTGGTTCTGATGTTCTCAAGTGTGCCCAATGCCTCCTGGCAAGGCTTCCCTGCTCTGGGTGCCGCTCAGATAATGAATTGTGAGAATTGTGAACTTGGGCCACACCCATCTTGTCCTGAGGGCAGATGCTTCAAGTTTTGTGCTGACTCAGAATGCAAGAGTCAAGTCATAAACGGCCAGGTTCAAGGGGAAGCCATCCTGACCGGCCTCACTTCCCGAGCAGAGTCTTGCCTGTGTGAGCATCAGTCTGACCCGAGTGATTTTCCTTTTCTTACTTTTTGTGTGCACATTTTTTTTGTTTTTAAGATCTATTTTTATTGGAAAGGCAGATTTTTAGAGGAGAGACAGATCTTTAGTCTGCTGGTTTACTCTCCAAGTAGCCTTAATGGCTGGAGCTGAACTGATTTGAAGCCTGGAGACAGGAGCTTCTTCCGGGTCTCTCACGCGGGTGCAGGGTCCCAAGGCTTTGGGCCATCCTTGACTGCTTTCTCAGGCCACAGGCAGGGAGCTGGATGGGAGGCGAGGTTGCCAGGATTAGAACTGGTGCCCATACGGGATACTGGCACTTTGGGGGGGAAGGTTAGTCAGTTGAGCCATTAAGCCAAGCCTAGGGAATTCCTGATGTTCATAACAATAACGTTCTGAAAGACTGATTGATTGACTGATTGATAAGGCAGAACAGCAGCAGAGAGAGAGAGCTTTTCCATTTGCTGGTTTACTCTTCAAATAGCCCCAGTGGCCAGGGCTGGACCAGGCCAAAGCTGGGAACCTGGAACTCCACTGGTGTCTTTCATGTGGGAAGCAGGGACCAACCTCTGCTGTTTTCCTAGCCGCATTAGCAGGGACCTGGATGGAAAGTGAAGCAGCTGGGACTTGAGCGAGTGCTCCTTTGGGATCTAGCATCACAGACAGCAACTTCGCCCCCCTGCGTCATCACGCTGGCCACCCTCTCCCCCTAGAAGAATTTGATATTATACCATCGCAGGCCTGAATTAGAATCTGGACCCTACCACGTCCAGGCTGTGTGGCCAATGGGAGCCACTTCATGTCCCTGAGTGTAAGTCTCCTGGTCAGCAAACTGGTGAAGGCACCGGCCCCCAGAGGGTCCCTGTGATTGACAAGGTCACCTGAATTAAGTAAGGTCACTCCGGGCCAGTGCCTGCAGTGCAGTCACCTTGTCATTGTCACACCCTCTGCATGGCTGAGGATCTCTGTGAGCTACCGTTTAACCTGTGACTGTTGTAAAAAGGCAGAGTATTCATAGAATCCAGCACCCCAGCAGTGAAGGATGGTCCACAGGGCTCTCAACCCGCTGGCTGCTGGGCCAGGGGGCGGAGCTGAGACTTCCTGGCCGCCCCTGGCAGCCTTGCCTGAGGTCTGACCTTATAGACCAGGACTCAGCAATGGCGGTCACGGGGTGAGAGAGCCAGGCACACACTAATCCCCAGCTCAGTGTACCCAGGGGTGAAGGACGAGGGCCAGAAGCAGGGCAGGAAAAGGGCTCGGCTAGGCAGAGAGGGAATGGGACAGAGGCAGAGCCTTCCAGATGGAGGGGTTAGAATACAGTGGTGGGGAGACGGGGGTCGTGTGTGTCCTAGCAGTCCGGACAAATGTCCAGGTGGAGGCCACCCACACAGTGTGGACTGAAACTCCAGATGCAAAGTTCGGGCCGGGTGGCCAGGGAGCGGGCAGAGGCTGCCTCCACAGTGTGACCAGGATGCACTGTGGGTGCCTCTTGTTTTCGCTGTGGGCTCCCTGTGTTCCCATGCCTGGGGCACCCGGAGATATTCCAGCTCACTGACACTCGGGGTGCCCCTCCCCGACCTCCCTCCCTGGGCTCACCTTCCTGGGGAGGCCACGGAGGCACAACACGAATTACTTCCTCTCTGTGCCAGGAGCAGGAGAACGTGCTGCAGCGTGTGCTGCAGCTGCCGGTGGTGAGCGGCACCTGCGAGTGCTTCCAGAAGACCTACGCCAGCACCAAGGAAGCACACCCCCTGGTGGCGTCTGTGTGCAACGCCTACGAGAAGGGCGTGCAGGGCGCCAGCAGCCTGGCCGCCTGGGGCATGGAGCCGGTGGTCCGCAGGCTGTCCACCCAGTGTGAGTCTTCCCCGATGCTCGCTGCCGTCTGTCCCAATCAGCCCGTACTCACTCACCTGTCTGCCTGATCGCCCACCCAGGCCTGCATCCCTTCCTCGCTTGACTTTCTCACCTGGGGACATGCAGTCGCCCCCCACCCCCACCCCACCCCGTCCCCCAGCTAGCTTTTCCCTAGGATAACCAGGACTGGTGAAGACGCTGCAGAGGGAAGGCACGGGTGGAGCTAAGTGGCTGTTGTGAGACGGGTCTGTGGCAGGTCAGATACCCACTCTTCTTTCAAATTCAGGGCCAATAGGCACTAGGGCTGCCGGGCACGGCAGAGGGACACTGGCTCGGCCCTGCCGGTGGTAGTACCACACGGGGGCAGCAGAGAGCCACCAGCCAGGCATGAAAGGGCAATGAGAATTACCCAGGGCGGCCCCCTGCGGGACCTGTCCCTACAGATTGCTCAAACGTACCTCAAAGTGCATGGCTTTCCATGGGGTTAACAAATCCAACTCCCTCCCTACTCCCAAATAGAGAATGAAGGGGATCCAAGGGTCACACTCAGCACGCAGTAGAGGAGGGGTGAAAGGGCACCAGCCCCAGGCAGACCCCCCTGGTCAGAGAATATATAAAGATTTACTTATTTATTTGAAGGCAGAATTGCAGAAAGAGGAGAGACAGAGCCAGGAGCCTCCTCTGGGTCTCCACATGGTTGCAAGGGTCCAGGTACATGAACAAGGAGCTGGATCATAAGTGGAACAGCCAGAACCTGAACCGGCACCCATATAGGTTGCCAGCCATGCAGGCAAAGGCTTAGCCTATTATGTCACAGAGCTGGCCCCAGGGCTAGAAAATTCTCCAAAGGAAAAGAAGCTACCCAGAGAAGGACTGTATCAGAGAGTGCACTATCTATGAGCCTCCTTGAAAACCATAGTGGCTATGACCCTGACCCTGCTCTTGCCCCAGCAGGAGGGGCTGTGTCCCCTCCACGTACCTGCACCTCTGGAGCTTGCCTCATTTGTGGGGACAGCTACTCCCTTTTCTTCCTGTGGCTCTCACCTCTCCCCTGCTGTCCCCCTACCCCACCACACCCCAGTGACCATCTCAATACAGAGGGATTAGAGGCAGGGACCATGGAGCATCTGGGGGCTGTGGCATCTGTGGCTGGCAGTGTCACCACGAGGACTCAGCAGGCCTCGGTTGGCCCCATGCTCACACCTCCATTCCACCTCTTCCCAACTCTCATCTCGAACGCCAATCCCTGGGCAGCCTGGGAGGGAAGCGGGACAGAAGAGAATAATAATTGCTACTTCCCTCCTTACTCCCCCCCCCCCCAGCAAAGTCAGCACCTTTAATTCATCCACCTGTGCCCACAAGGAAGCTGGGACAGATGGGGGCTGGTGACAGCCAAGAGCATGGGTCACACATGTGCGGGAGGTGGCAGGGCTGGACCCCCTGGGCTCTGAGGTTAGCTGCTCTTACCCCAGGGGCCACTGCTGGGTTCTGGCAGCAGGATCATGCCACACCCACCCCCAACGTGGTCCTTCCCTACCAGTCACAGCTGCCAACGAGCTGGCCTGCAGAGGCCTGGACCACCTGGAGGAGAAGATACCAGCTCTCCAGTACCCTCCAGAAAAGGTGAGCTGCTGGCTTGTCCTGGCACCCACGCTGGCACTGCCTGAGCCCAGCTTGTGGCATGATCTCTGCCACTTACCCCTTGCCAACCCTTTGGGGGTGGGGCTATTATCCCAGAGTGCACAGGTGCCTGCTCCACCCCCACTCTGTCACAGTGCCTTCGGTGGGATCCAACAAGTCTCACTCCCTATTTTTCCTGGTCGTGTGCCTTTGTCACAGAGGTGCTCCCAGGTTAACCAGAAGGAAGATTTCAGTGTAGAGCCTGCAGCCCTGGCAGTGTTGGGGCCGCATGGCTAGCACAAGGAGGGTGGATGTCGGCTCTCTTTAGAGCCAACACAATGCAAGGTCGTGCCCCCCTTCCAGCAGCCGGGCTTGGAACCTGTCCCCCACCTTGCCCTTGAACCCCCTCCCCTGGCCTTCCCAGATCACCTCGGAGCTGAAAGACACCATCTCCACGCGCCTCCGCAGTGCCCGCAACAGTATCAGCGTGCCCATCGCCAGCACGTCAGACAAGGTCCTGGGGGCCGCGCTGGTTGGCTGCGAGCTTGCCTGGGGAGTGGCTCGAGACACGGCCGAGTTCGCTGCCAGCACTCGCGTCGGCCGCCTGGCCTCTGGCGGGGCTGACTTGGCCTTGGGTGGCATTGAGAAGGTGGTGGAGTACCTCCTACCCCCTGCCAAGGAGGAGTCAGGTACCTGCTGTCCCGGGGCCCAGCCACCCATGCTGGAGGGCTGGCTATCTTGCTGATCCCCAGGGTCAGAGGGAGGTGGCACATGGACCCACGGGATTGGCAAGGGGGGGGTACAAAGACCCACAAGGAGGGACAATGAATCACGCACAGCCTTGGGGAGCTGACGATGGACCTGCAACTACTGCCTCCAGCCCTGAACTCAAGCTGGCGCCCCCCAGCCTTCTCTGACCTCTTTTCCCTTCTTTCCCTGAAATCCCTACCCAGGCTATTCCCCTGGACGCCAGCAGGATCAGAAGCCCCCCAAGACCAAACCGAGCCTGCTGAGAAGGGTGGGGGCCCTGGCCAACACCCTCTCTCAGCACGGCATGCAGAGCACTGCCTGGGCACTACGGCAGGGCCACGCCCTGGCCATGTGGATCCCGGGTGTGGCACCCCTGGTGAGTGTCAGCCTCGACCTCAGCCCACTCCCACCCCAAACACCAGGGGCCCTATGCCCTCCTGATCCCTCCCATCCCCTACTGATACCCTCTCCTTTCCTGAGAACATTCTTTCTTCTAGCCTGGGCTTGGTACTTAAGGTCTGAGGACTGGAGTCCTCGGAGGAGTGGGGCTGGTCCAAAGGCTATAGGGGACAGAAAGGGCAGGAAAGAACAGCCTGCCTCCTTAGGATGGCCCTGCCTGCCCTTCCTCATGCCCTAAGCTGAGCCTCCTGCTGTGGCCCTCCCGCCTCTGCTCCCCGGGCACCTGGACTCACAGCATCCCTAAATAAGTGAAGCATGAGGCTTCATTCTGTGGGCCGAGAGCCCACATTCTAGAAGGTTCTAACTTCCATCCACACTGCACCCGAGGCAAAGCTGCCTTTCCTAGGCTCAGAGAGGGCCAACTCCCTACTGCTCCCCACTGCTTCCACCTCTCTATGCACTTCAGCACAACTAAGCTGGGTCATTTATTCATACAGAGCTTTAGTAAGAAACAGGACAGGAAAGAAAATAAAAACAACAAACACAGAAGACTAGATGACAACTTTCCAGCCAGAGAAAGAAAAAGAGAGAGATCTTCCATCTACTGGTTCACTCCCCCAGACGACATCTGTGGTTGGAGCTGAGCTAATCTGAAGCCAGGAGCCAGGGGTTTCTTCTGAGTTTCCCTTGTGGCTGTAGGGTCTCAAGGGCTTGAGCCATGCTCTACTGCTTTTCCAGGCTAGAAGCAGGACTCAGCTGAGACACAATCCGGTGCCTACATGGGATGGTGGTACCACCGGGTGGAGGATTAGCCTGTGGCACCACTGAATTGGTCCCTGAGATGAATATATTTATATACCCAAAAGATATAGACAGGGGGAGAATCATGTACTGGTTCACTCCCCAGATGGCTGGGCCAGGCGGAGGCCAGGACCCGAAAAGCACCACATACCTGGGCCATCGTCCGCTGCCTCCCCGGCCGCAAGAGCAAGGAGCTGGACAGGAAGTAGAGCAACTGGCACTTGCCTGTGTTGCAAGCAACAGCTAATCCGCCATGCCATTTTGCTGGCCCCTTAAGTGGTACTTCTTCTTTAAAAATATTTATTTGTTTTATTGGAAAGGTAGATATCTAAAGAGGAGGAAAGACAGAGAGGAAGATCTTCTGTTCACTGATTCACTCTCCAAGGGTCCCATTGGTTGAAATTGAGCTGATCCGAAGCCAGGAGCCTTGGAGCTGCTTCTGGGTTTTCTGTACAGCTGCAGGGTCCCAAAGCTTTGGGCCATCCTCAACTGCTTTCCCAGGCCACAAGCGGGGAGCTAGATGGGAAGCAGGGGCACTGGGACATGAACTTTCAAGGCGAGGACATTAGTCACTAGGCTACCATGCCAGGCCCTGAGCTGTGCCTTTAAAAATGTCACCAGGCCTGGATAGTTTATTCCTGTGCCAGGTTCTGTGGTTCCCTGATATACAGGAGTAACAGTTCTTTCAATCCCTTGAGCCGAGGGTCATTTGCCTCGCCTGAAGGGGCAGGCCCAGGAGGCCCAGGTATGTTTCTGGAAGCTGCATAAGGAGGCCCTGGTGTGTGGGATGAGCCCTTAACATTGTTTTGAAAACATTCAGATCATCTTTAGCCTTCATCAAGAGCTGGGCACAGGCCCAGTGTGGTAGCCTAGCAGCTAAACTCCTCACCTTGGATACAACAGGATCCCATATGGGTGCTAGTTTTAATCCCACCAGCCCTGCTTTCCCATCCTGCTCTCTGCTTTGGCCTGGGAAAGCAGTCAAGGACAGCCCAAAGCCTTGGGACCCTGCACTCACATGGGGTAGACCCAGAAACCAGGAAGAAGCTCTTGGCTCCTGGCTTTGGGTCGGCTCAGCTCCAGCCATTGGGGCCACTTGGGGGAGTACATCATCAGAATGAAGATCTTCCTCTCTGTCTCTCCTCCTCTTCTGTATATCTGACTTTCAAATAAAAATAAATCTTTTTTTTAAAAAATGTTAAAAATTTTTTTAAAAATAAGAATAAGTAAACAAATAGCTGAGCACCATGCAAACATCCACCCACAGTAGAATGGGTGAGGCATGGAGGATGCAGACAGGAAAAGACAGGAACAAGTTCTGTATGCGGCAACAGGGACGACCTCTCGCCATTGTGTTGAGCTACAGAAGCTGTTCATGAACGCACATCCGGCTCCACTTGCATGGAGTCCGAAAACAGGCAAAGGAACGCAGAGCGAGGGGGTCAGAGGCATGGACACTCTTGAGGGAGGGTGAATGTGTGCGGACTCAGCAGGCTGTTGGGGCTCCCCAGCCTCACTGGTTTGCTGCCTGCTGTGGCCACCCCCACTCTCAGAGCAGCCTGGCCCAGTGGGGCGCGTCGGCAGCCATGCAGGTGGTGTCCCGGAGGCGAAGCGAGGTCCGGGTGCCTTGGCTGCACCATCTTGCCACGGCCCAAGAAGAAGAACATGATGAGCAGACGGACTCGGAGGGGGCAGAGACAGAGGAGGAGGAAGAGTCGGAGACAGAGGAGGGGTTCAGTGAGGTGAGGGGGCATGGGGCTCCGGGTCCCTCAGTCACACCGCCCAGAGCAGCAAGGGCTCGGAGTGCAGTTACGTGGGATGTGGGGCCTGGCTACCACATGTCACACCTTGTCCCTAATGCCCAGCAGTGGCCATCCCTCATAGAACCCAACAAGCAAGGCAAAGCGAGTCTTGGCCTATTTTGCACCAACCCAAGGCCACACTGCTAGGCCAAGCTCTGTGTTTGTCCCTCTGGCTCTGCAGTTGGTGGGGCTGGGGAGGGCGGATGGGGGCAGGGCTTTCTCTGACCTTGCTTTGCTCTGCAGGCAGCAACCATGCCTGACCCACGAGGCCTCCTGGGCAGCATGGCGCACACTCTACAGAAGACCCTGCATGGCACGCTCTCAGCCGTGACGTGGGCACCTGCGGCCGTGCTGGGCACAGCAGGGAGGATGCTGCACCTCACGCCCGCCCACACCGTCTCCTCCACCAAGAGCAGGGCCATGTCTCTGTCGGATGCCCTGAAGGGTGTCACTGACAACGTGGTAGACACAGTGGTACACTATGTGCCGGTGAGTGTCACTGCAGGTGAGTCTCCCTCCCCCAGGTGGGCCTCGGGAAAGGATGAGAGCTCAGATTCCACTGAAGGGGCTGCACACGCCCCTGTTCCACAGCCCAGGTGACCCGTGCAATCCTCAGTACCCTGGGACCCTCATGATGTCCTGGGCCCCCAACCTCAAGAGCAGTGTGACCCCTGGCCCCTGTCTTGCGGTAGTGGGGGATTTCCCAAGATCAGACTGGGAATCCCTGCAGCTCCACCCTCGGCACCCAGCTGATGGACCTGCAGTTTTGCCTGGTGCTGCCCAAGCAGGGATTGGAGGAGGCTTGTAGTACCGAGGCCAGCCCAGTTCTATCACCCACCGAGAAAACTCCAGAGAGGCCGTGTCTTCACTTGGACCCCATTTCCAGAGCAAGTCACCTTGCGCTGGCTGGGGGAGGCTGGCCAAAGCAGGAGGGCCCTTCGTGCTGACAAGGATCCCTCAGTCCCTGCCGCCCAGAGGTTGCCAGGAAGACAGCTGCCAGTGCACCCCCAAAACACCTGCCCTTGACCCAAGGAAGGGTTAGCAAGGCCCCTAAGCTCTGAGGGAGGCTGGAGGGGTGTTGCCCTAACTCGCCTTGTCTCAGGGTCTGTCCCAGACAGGGCTCAGTGCAAGTGTCAGCTCAGGGGTCTCCTGGCTCCCCATTCCATCCTGCTGTCCCCCATCCCAGCCTGTGCCCTTCTGATGGCCGTTCTGGAGGTGCGGAATGAATCCAGGACCGCAGAGGGAGAGGAGGGTGGGAGGTCCAGGACCCAGAGCCCCGTGGGGCCCTAACACGCCTGCCGGACCCTCAGCTCCCCAGGCTGTCGCTGATGGAACCCGAGAGCGAATTCCGCGACATCGACAACCCGCCGGCAGAGGTGGAGCGCAAGGGGTCCGCGGCACGGCCCGCCAGCCCGGAGCCCATGCCGCGCCCCGCGCAGCCCCGCGGCAACCTGCGCAGCGTGCGGGGCCCGGCGCTTGAGGACAAGGCCGAGCCGCCCGCCGTGCCGCGCCCGGGCTTCCTGGCCGCGCCGCGCGAGAAGCCCACGCGCAGGGTCAGCGACAGCTTCTTCCGGCCCAGCGTCATGGAGCCCATCCTGGGGCGCGCGCAGTACAGCCAGCTGCGCAAGAAGAGCTGAGGCCGCCGCGCCCCGGGCCGGGCCGCCGTCTCTCGCAGCGAGCAGGACGCGCGCGGTCCAGGGAGGGCTGGCCTCTCACCGTAGTTCCCGGGGACCCTGGCTTCGTTCATGCCCATGCTGCCACCCAGACACACATCACTCTTGCAGCATCCTACTGGGTTCTGCCATTCAGAACCAGTGTTGCAGCGGCGCACGGGCCACAGCCCTTTCGGATTCGGTGGTCTTTCAAAGATATTGTTACTACTATTCTCGTTACTATTAGTATTGAGCCCAGACCCACTGATTACCCAGGCTCTCTGCCGGCCCCTTTAAAGAGAAAAACCAAGCAGGTGTGCAAAATCTGTGTTCGTTGAAAACCGCTCTTTTCGTGCCAGGCTTGTCCTCTCTAGCGCCACCTCCCGCTCGCAGCTGCACCTGCCTTTGCACCATTCCCATCTACGTTCGCAGTCGGTTCTTTGCCTCCAGAATGGAGAATCCAGGGAATGCCGACAAAACCCACAATATAATCTGTATGCTATGGGCCATGTACAGAAGGTCTATAGTTCATTCTAAATCCCATTTTTTGAAATGTTAATAAATCTAGGCAATACATATGTGTAATTACAAAAAATTCAAACCTTGCAAAAGGATGTGTGTTTTCCTTCCGAAACGTCACAGTTCTCTTCCCTAAAGACAGCCAAGGTTAGGGCCTCTGGTGTGTCCTTCCCAACCAGGAAAAGGCCACGCCCGTGCTCCTGTGTCCACTCCCCACTTTTGCTTACCCAGCGATAAACTGTCCTACTCATCGGCTGTGTGGCTGAACCACTCCAACAATCCAACTGTCCAACGATGTTTATTAGAGAGGGCTCTCATTGGCTAGTTCACTTCCCAAATGCCTGCAATGACTGACACTGGACTGGACCCAAGCCAGGAGCCAGGAAAGCAATCCCGGTCTCTCCTGGGGTCCCAGAAAGCCACACTCAGAAAGCAGAGTTGGGCACTGAACACAAGGACTAGGGCTATGGGACAGAAGTGTCTTAAATGGCATCTTACCCACCCAGCCAAGCACCTGTGCCCTACTTGCTCCTTTCGGTGGTCATGTAGGAAGCGCTTCACAATTCAGATGTTCTCCGTTTGATTTAGCAATCTCCCTAATGATAGATCTTCAGGTGATCTCCAGTTCTTTGACTGTTACAAACTGCACCGTGAAAATATCCTTGTCAAAAATGTCTCGTGCATGTAGAGGGCTCTGAGATAAAATGTGATTCGTAACCAAGTCAGTGATGAGGAGGCCGGGTGGGTGCTGCTGGATGCTGTGTGTTCCCTACCTTGGAGGACCCTTCGGAACATGAGCATCCCCTCGGCCCCCACTAGAGGGCACCCCAAAGGTCTTCCTCCTTGAAAGTGGCTCTGGGCTCGGCAGCTCTTTGAAGAAATGGGTTAGGCACCTTGACATGCAATTTTGGAATCTAAAAAGGCCAAGGAAGGGGGGCATGATTGATGGGCATGGCCAGGGCCTCCACAACCGTTTCCTGGGGTTGGAGGAGTGAGGTGGTTTCAAGAGCAGTCCCTAGGATGACAGAGCTGGGAAGACAGCCTTGCCTTGGAGAAGCGACCTGTGGTCTGTCCAGAGCCAAGGACACAGCAGCACCGCTGAGCGGCAGAAGTTGGCCTCCTTGGCTCCAGGCTCTGCCAGTGGCCTCCTGGGGCTCTCACCTTGGTCAGCCTTGTCAGTCAGGTGGGGGTGAAGACAGATCCATGCTCCCCATATTTACAGCCTGGGATATGGGGAGGTGTGAGGGATGTGAGTGTGGGTGTAGAATGTCCAAAGACCCTGTGTTAGAAGTGTACTCCTGGGCCAGGCACGGTGGACTAGGGGCTAAAGTCCTCGCCTTGAACAGGCCAGGATCCCGTATGGGCACTGGTTCTAATCCAGACAGCCCCACTTCCCATCCAGCTCCCTGCCTGTGGCCTGGGAAAGCAGTCACGGACAGCCTAAAGCCTTGAGGATCCTACACCCGTGTGGGAGACCTGAAAGAAGCTCTTGGTTCCTGGCTTCGGATTGGTGCAGCACCAGCCGTTGCAGTCACTTGGGGAGTGAATCATCACACAGAAGATCTTCCTCTCTGAATATCTGACTTTGCAATAAAAGTAAACAAATTAAAAAAAAAAAAGAAGAAGAAATGTGATCCCCAGAGTCTGACATTAGCAGCTAAAAACTTAATACAATTATAGTCTGGGAAGAGGTTGCTTTGGGTGGTGACTGCATTGGTTTAGGGTTTAGGGCAGGCCATGATGGAATTACACTCTTTAAGGGAGACTCATAGAAATTCACAAACACGAGGGAGGGATCTTCAAGTTCATGGAAATTTGTTTTAAGGAAAAATTACACACATGAATTTAAAAAATGTTTGCACCAAATATACCTATTTTTAAACTCAATCTCTTGGGCCCAGCGGCATGGCCTAGCAGCTAAAGTCCTCACCTTGAACGCGCTGGTTCTAATCCCGGCAGCCCCACTTCCCATCCAGCTCCCTGCTTGTGGCCTGGGAAAGCAGTCGAAGACAACCCAAAGCCTTGGGACCCTGCACCCCTGTGGGAGACCCAGAAGAGGCTCCTGGCTCCTAGTTTCAGATCAGCACAGCACCAGCTGTTGCGGCCACTTAGGGAGTAAATAAGTGGGTGGAAGAAATTTCCCTCTGTCTCTCCTCCTCTCTGTGTATCTGAATTTCCAAACAAAATAAATAAATCTTAAAAAAAAAAAAAAGTTCAACTTTCTGAAGTTCTCCCAATGCAAGCGGTCTAAGCAGTTACTCTTAGGGTACCATCTCCTTAGGGCCACACGGGGACACCGCGGTGTCACACCTTGCACTCCCGGTGCCAAGTTTCTTTCGACATGACTGCAAGAGGCAACTCAGTTTCAGAACTTGCACCATGAGGGCAAATGAGAGTCTGGGGTCGGAAGGGGTGGTGGGGACGAGGTGCCATGGAAGTGTTACGTTTTTAGGCGGGAAACGACAGCTTCCAGGAGTCCCGGGCCTGGAGTGGAAGCCGAGTTGGGGTGAAGAGGCGGTTCTGAGCCGCTGGCAGTCCAGGGCACGCCATCCGCGGGGACTCCCTGGGCAGGTCCAGCCCCCAGCCCGGGCCCCGCCTGCGGCCCGATTCCGCGGCGCCGCCCGGCCAGCGCCTGCGCCCCCGAGCGCGCGCGGGCGGAGCTGCGGGCGGGGAAGGGCTGTTTTGGGGGGGGCGGGGGTCCCGATGACGGCATCGGAGCGCGCCGTGCCCGGCCTGTGAGCCTCGACTGCTGGACCGACCCCCGGTTGTGTTCGCACCCAGGCAGGTGGGTGTGGGGCCGATCGGGGACAGGGGGTAAAGGGGCACGAGGACCCCGGGGCGAGGGGGCGGCGCGCGCGGCTCACAGCGCTGCGCAGGCCGGTGCCGGGTGGCTCTGGGGGGCGGCCGGCCCGTCCGGGGAACCCTCACCCCGCGCGGGAAGCTCCCCAGCCCGGATCCGTAACTTCCTGGAGGCCACTCGCTGGGCAGGTCGGCGCCCCCCAGCCCTCAGTCTGACCCGGAGAAGGCAGCACCGAGGCTGGGGGGGACAGGTTCCTGGTTGAAGTTACTGATACAGACTTTTCGGGAGCTTTGGTCCGGCTCCTGACGCCTCGCTCCCTGGTGGCGCGATCGCACCGTGCAGTTGTGCGGCTGGCAGGGCCGCGGAGGAGCCGGGACGGTAACCGGCTTGCGACCTCCGTGATGGGGCTGCACCGAGGCCCCCATCTCACCTCCATCCCCCGGTGGTGCCCGGGAGCCGGGACGAGGGGCTGTGAATGCTGGGATGGTTGGACGGGAAGTGGTCAGTGCTGTGGGAGCAGGACCGGAGCCAAGTCCTTGGAAAGGGATTTGCTGCTCCCTGTTTACTTGTGCTGGGAGCTGGGGAACCAGCCAGAATGGGGAGCGTTGATGCAAGGGAGACAGGACCTGTGGGTGCCCTCACGAGGCGCAGAATCCGTGGAGAAAATGGGCACCCCTGTCTGGAGGGCCGAGGAGGTTGCAGAGAAAGAGAGACAGGAGGAAAAGTCTGGGGTTCAGAAGGTGAATGGTTATAGTAAGCAGGGTCTGTTTTAAGGAGTATTCATTATTATTCTTTACTGATTTGGAAGGCAGAGTCAGACACACACACACCCCTTCGATCTGCTGGTTCTCTCCCCATATGGCCACAACCACCAGGTGGGCTGAAGCTAGGAGCCTGGAACTCCATCCAGGTCTCTCACATGGGTGCCAGGGGCCCAGGTATTTGAGTTCTCCCTGCTACCTTCCCCAGCCCATTAACAGGGAGCTGGATTGGAAACAGGGCAGCCAGGGTTTGAACTGGAGCTCTGACACTGGGTGGCATGTGGGAGACTGCTGTGCAGGCAGTGGCTTAAGCTTAACAAGGCTGGCCCTATGGTGTGTCTTCTGTTCCTTTACGGGATCACAAGGGCAGAGGGGCTCTTTGTTTTGGGAGCTGGGTCATGGGGAAGTAATAGGATTGTATTTGCATTTTTAAAAAAATGTGCCCCTGGCTGCAGAGTTGGAGCAGGTGGGAAGACCCACAGGGAAGGGCCCTGATTGCAGGATGGGGGCGGCAGGTGAATGTGAGAGAGCTTTAGGAGTGGGAGCTGGCAGAGTTGGTGGTGGGAGCCTGGTCTTGGAGGGTAGGTCAGGTTTTTTGAAGAAGAGCGGGCCAGGTTTGAACAGTGATGTGACAAAGGTAGAGGCTTTGGGAAATCTGGTGGGTTAGGGGAGGGACAATGGGATGCTATGTGGGGTCATGGTGCATGTGGTGGTGCGTGTCACCCTAGGAGAAGCACATACTGACATAGGGTACCAAGGCAAGGCGTTGGGGCGGTACATTGCTACTGTGGGGCTGCAACATGGATCCTCAGACGTCAGGCTGGACAGGGTCTGCCCTGAACCTTAGCCTTTCTCCCTGCTGCCCCTGTGGGGCCAGGGGCTGCAGGAGCACACCCAGGTCACCT